CCCCCTCCCTCCCTCCCTCTCCATAAAATATTCAGCTGTTCTTCTCTTAACGTAAACAAATGAAGTTAATCGTCTGTAACAAATCCCTCCCTTCTCTGTGTTCTAGAGTCCGGACCTTGGCCGGTTTTTCCGTTTCTTAATTCTATACACAGTCGGCATGACTTCATGGACGGGGGATCAGCCCGACGCAAGGCCGCTATCTACATACAGAACACAAACGCAGAATAAACGCACGAGTGGGATTCGAACTTACGATCCCAGTGTTCGAGCTGGCGAAAACTGTTCATGTCTTTGACCGCGTGGCCACTGTGATCAGCTAACAAGTTTCCTCATGTTACTTTAATTTAAACGCCTACAAGAGAAAAAGTAACTGCGTAAATTTACGGTTGCGTAGCTTAAAATCGTGTTTTGACGTATCCACTAAGAAGATTCACAATCACAAAACTGAGAAACATAATATGCCTATTTATATAAAACGTGTAAAGCCATTTCGTCTCTGTACTTTTCTTCAGTCCTTTTTTGTTTACTAAGCAAATATAAGCTGTATCTTCACAGTGCAAAACAGATTTGTTGCTATTATTTTTTTATTGCTAGTGGGGTGGGACTAAGTCCCTTGTACTGCGGCCGCTTCTGGCCTATTGTACCAGCCCCAGATGATAGGTGAGGGTGATTGTGGGGCAATTGGTGGAATGAAAATTGGCAGGGGAAACCGAAGTACTCAGAGAAAACCTGCCTCAGCGCCACTTTGTCCACCACAAATCCCACTTGACCAGACCCGGGGTCGAACCCGGACCGCTGCGGTGGGAAACCAGCGACTAACTGCTTGAGCTATGGCGCGGCCCCGGTTTGTGGCTAAGTAATTTGTGTCTAGGGCAATTTAAGGTTCCATGAAGTTGTTACGCCTTCAGCATTTGACACGATAAAAGCGATTCAGTAGCAAGAAAGGGATTTCGTTTGGTCTCATGTTATTAATTTTAAGAATGAATGAAATAATGAAACGAAAATACAAAGAGGCTTCGTAATAGGCATTTGAACTGTCTGTTACACTGATGAAAAATAGCCTTTTGTAAAAACAGAAGGCTGTCTGTTAAGATGGTTGCCAGCTTTTATGAATAAAAGACATCATGAACACAGACAATCGGATAGGCGTAGCTAACATTTCTAAGCACTTTCATATTCACATTTAACTATTTATGTCATCCTACTTACACGTACAGTTTAAAAAAGTTGTTAGGTAACTTAAGAAGTAATCAGTTAGGCCGAATAATAAATATTAACTTCAGCAGGTCACTACTTTTCCTTCCACATACTTCCTGACTCGTAACTTGTTACGGTCCTTTCATTCTGTCCCATAAAACCTAAATATTTTAGTTTAGTTTTTTCGTGGGGTGGGCTGAGACTGAGTCCACTTGGTACATCAGCCACTAATTGGCCTACTGTACCAGATCCGGACGATATATATGCACGGAGCAGTCGGTGGAATGAGAATTGGCAGGGGAAACCGAAGTACTCGGAGAAAACTTACTCTAGTGCCACTCAGTCCACCACAAATCCTAAATGACCTGAACTGGGATCGAAATTGGTGGACTTCCGCCTGAGGTATGGCATGGCCACACCCAGAGACCTTACTAAACTTCGTTAAAGAAACAACAAAACGAAGGGGTTAATTCCAGTACCTGGACTTGAGGTCGCTGAGCAAGTTCCTGCACTTTTCGGCCTCCTCTTCACGCACAGCCTTTATCTCGGCGGCCCTGTCTCGCTTCAGCGCCCTCATGGCTGCTCGCTCGCTGTCGAAGGCCATGCGGGTGGTGTTCAGGTCGCTCCGCAGCTGATAGAGCAGAGCCTGAAGCAAAGGCACCGCTGTCATCTCCGCCGTGGACGTCCGCATCCTCTTCGTTAAGGTCGAGTTCGTTGTGGCGGGCTCCTGCATCACGACCGACGACTTCCTGGGTCCACCGGCCGCTTAGGTTCCTGCGCCTGGAACACACCTTCTCATGCACTGCTGTCATCACATGACACCACGTCGAGTGACTCACTGTCCTTCAGAGTTCTCTCGAAACGCAGGCGGAAACGGAACCTTTGAGTTCGGCACTATTTCGAAACTGATAACTAACAGACTAGTTTAGTTTCTTCGATTGGGGCGAGACTGAGCCAACTTGGTATGTCGGCTACTCTTTGAGGTATTGTACCCGTCCCGGATGCTAGATGATATGTGTGAAGCAGTCGGTGGAATGAAAATTTGCAGGGGAAACCGAAGTACTCCGAGAAAACCTGCCAGCCGCGGTGGAAACCCGGCGACTAACCGCCTGCGCTATAGTTCGGTCCAATTAGCAAAGTCAACGCACCACAGAGAAACTAACAGTTGCTCAGTTTGTAAAGAAATTTCCTCCTTTTACGGAAATAAAAGATTGAAAGCCGTGTTTACAAGAGTCAGAAACTGGTTCCTATACTGAACCAGATAATCCAGCCTACATTCTCACAGTACTTCTGCAACGCGTATTTTAATATTAATCTTCCATCTACGTCTAGATCTTTAATGTAATCTGCTCCCTACAGATGTTCTGTGATGGGTTTTCACTGATAAAATTCGATTATTTAATCCCTGGTATTTAACTTAAAGATTAGAGAATTTCTCTTGTACACATACACTGGGAAATGGAAAACCTAACCAAGCCTCGCTTGATGCCGAAATGAGGTTACCCCCCAATACCCTAATGAATTACATTCCAGGTAAATATTTTCAAATTCAATTAAAAAGAGCTAGGATACATTTAACGATACTTTTAAAATCAATTGTCATTCGGACAAAGATAAGCCGTTAAATTTCAACGCTTACCTCATACAATTAACACAGTCGGTACAGCGACTGGATACGGGCTTGACGACAGAGGGGTCAGAGTTCGAGTCCCGATAGGGTCAAAAATTTCTTTTCTCCACGTCGTCCAGACCGTCTCTGCGGCTCTCCCAACCTCCTATCCAATGGGTACCGGGGGATCTTTTCCCGGAGGTAAAGCGGCCGAAGCCGATCACGGTAGCCGAGCGGTCTAAGGCATGCACTGTCTTCGCTCGCTTGGAAAACCGGGATCGTGGGTTCGAATCCCACTCAGGGTATGGATGTTTAGTTTGTGTGTGTGCGTTTTTCTGTGTTTGTGTACAGGTAGAGGCCTTGCGACGAACTGATCACCCGCCCAAGGGGTCCTACGGAAGGTGTAAGATCTAGAAAAACCCAAGTGAACGGAGGAGTTCATGAAGGTAGGCCTAGGCCCACTGGGGCTGTAGAGACAAGGAAAGAAAAAAGCGGCCGAAACGTGAAAATGACCACTCACCTCCCGCTAGTGTCGAAGTCAAGAAAATGTGCATCTATACAGCCTCTCCCCCATACGCCTTCATGCGTAGTGCTTAGTTAGCTAACACAGGGACAGCTTTGCCTTTACCTCACGCGATTATATTTTGTCGAAACATCGCGTTCCTCTAGTCAGTGACATGGAACCCGCGACCTTCGCGCTGCGACGCGCATTCTGCCGATAAGTTTCCATTGCTTAGTGACCACTGACGGCGAATGGCAGATCTTTTTGGAATCACACAGGTTAGCGAACAGCTCTTTCCAAAAATGAAAACCTACAGAATGAAATTATTATTTTCCTTTGCATACAGAGTAATAAATTTTGCCTCTTAGAAGTTAAAGTAAGGTTTCAGTAAAAAAAATTACTTTTATTTTTGTCACTTGGCTTGGCGCCCGCTAAGAATTTTGACGTCTTTAAATTTCCCTCCATGCCAAAAATCTCCTTCCTCACTGTTCTAGATGTTTCGACCCTCTAAACGTGTCCTTGATACCACCATTAGTGAAACCTCCTGTTATGAATACAATTAAATAATAAAAAGAATAAATCTTGCTCTGCTGATATTTTGAACAATTAAACACAATTTACAGACTTTTTTCCCCCTTTGCACTACATCCCCAGTGAGCCTAGGCCTACCTCCGTAAACTTCTCCGTTCACTTCGGTTTTTCTAGATCTCACACATTCGGTAGGACCCCTTGGTCGGGTGATCAGCTCGTAGCAAAGCCTCTACTTGTACACAAACACAGAAAAACGCACACAAACATCCATGCCCTGAGTGGGATTCGAACCCACGATCCCGGTTTCCAAGCGAGCGAAGACAGTACAACAGACATATTTACATTTCTTAATTTTCTAGCTAACCTATCATGAATCATCACTGCTAACTAATAAAAAGATAAAGTTTGGGACACAATTTATTTGGATATAAAAGCGCTATCAACTAACTTCCAAATACGTACACATATTTAGAACTCTCAAACACCTTAATATGAGTCGTCTGTTAGGTGAAATATTGATTGAATTTCATCAGATTGCGTGAGAGTGAGTTGCCACGACGATCTGAAGTTTTGTTCAAAATTGAACAGAATCCATGACGCCTACATGACCGTTCACTCTTGACATCGATTTCAGAACGAAGTGCGGGTCTACAGCCAAAGCTTCACAGCACGAGATTCGCAAATACAGACAAGAGACTAATGAAGGGAGTCCCACTGTAGTTGCCAACACGGATGGCCATTGTTCTGAGTTACACCAATAAGTTACAATTCACCGTCACTGATGTCTCACGCAATTTAGAACGACCTCTTTCACTTTCCCTTAACGCAAGGGTTACCAACTTCTGGCTTTCCAGAGGCTATGATTTGACCCAACACGATAATCGTAAATACTCCAGTAATATTCTATATCATAATTACTCATTAATTTAATAATTGTGGATGCCAGTCTAAGAAACTAAGATGTCAAGCCATCTATTGTCACGATTGGGGGATCAGTTTCTTAACAATTTTATACCTATCAAATGTAGTCTCTAAAAACTGGGCGCAATTTATAATCTAAAAGGTAGGGCATACATGTGTTAATGTCCGGGCATTATGTTCAGGAATGTATAGCTTAGATGTGATAATGTTCGGGCATTATGTTCAGGTATGTACGGCTTACATGTGATACTGTCCGGGCATTATGTTCAGGAATGTACGGCTTACATGTGATACTGTTCGGGCATTATGTTCAGGTATGTACGGCTTACATGTGATACTGTTCGGGCATTATGTTCAGGTATGTACGGCTTACATGTGATACTGTTCGGGCATTATGTTCAGGAATGTACGGCTCACATGTAATACTGTCAGGGCATTATGTTCAGTGATGTATAGCTTAGATGTGATAATGTTCGAGCATTATGTTCAGGTATGTACGGCTTACATGTGATACTGTTCGGGCATTATGTTCAGGTATGTACGGCTTACATGTGATACTGTTCGGGGATTATGTTCAGGAATGTACGGCTTACATGTCGTACTGTGCGGGCATTATGTTCAGGGATGTACGGCTTACATGTGATACTGTTCGGGCATTATGTTCAGGTATGTACGGCTTACATGTGATACTGTTTGGGCATTATGTTCAGGTATGTACGGCTTACATGTGCTTACGGCTTACGGCATTATGTTCAGGGATGTACGAGTTACATGAGATAATGTTCGGATATTACGTTCAGGTACGTACTACTTACATGATATAAAGTTCAGGCATTAAATTCAGGAACGTACGAGTTACATGTGATAATGTTCGGGCATTAGGTTCAGGCACGTACTGCTTGCACGTGATAACGTTGGGTAATTACATTCAGGAAGGTGCCGTTTACATATGATAGCGTCACATCATTGCACATTCAGTCGCTGTGTCAGTGACACGCATATATTCAACTTCGTTAAGTAACACCCGCTAGTATTGCATTGGCGCGTAGAAGGCTGTGGGAACAGAATATGTCTTACGTAATGTTAGATCCTTAACCGAACATAATTGTGTACATTGTTACTCTCCCCTACCCTTCTACATTGGGCGGCCAAAGCAAATCATGGTCCGTAAGCGAAAATGAAGCGGATTAAGTTACTGACGACTAAAGGGCCTAATGATGCGCTGTCCCTTTGGTCCACTTTTGCGGTTACAGAAGAGTTTACAATGTACGTATCTATTTCCATCGTACCAGAGTCTACTACTCGGTGTGATTACAATACTTCACTAAACAGCTCTCACATGCCACTCTGCAGTAAAAGCAACAGGAATAGATCATTTGGTATAGCGGATAGACCATAAACTCGAAGACCGAGGAATCTGAATTCCATTCCTCGCAGCCGCAAGAGAAACCTCGCTTTTTCATAGCGCCATTACTGACTCTGAGGCCCACCGAGATTCCTATAAAACGGGAAATGAGGGTTTTCCCCCCAGGAGTAAAGCGGCAGGACATGAAGTTGATCAATGAATTTAGTATGGAGAATTGTGGACCTGTACCTCCACTCCCGTGTATGTCTTCATGACTTGACGATTAATTACAAGCAAAAGGACAAATGCATCTTACCTTTAATCTACGAGTATATAGAAAATAAATCATTGGAGACGAAAAACAAGAAATGTCTTAAAATAATCGGTTTCCAATTTGCAATGAAATGGCATTTAATGACGTATTGGAACTTTTCAATTGACCTAATCCTTCCAGTCGCACTATGGCCCTGGGACCGACTCAGCCTCTAACAGAAATGACTACCAGGAATATTCCTGAGCGATAAAGGGTGGCCGGTGAGTAAGGCTGACAACCTCACCGCCTTCTGTGAGCCGATTGTCTAGAGAATGTGGCAGTCTCGACGTCTCACAAACCTATGGGCCTCCACGGCCTGCTACAGGAACAGCTTTACTTTTGTACCATTTACTGGGAAGAAACCCTTCTAAGCGCACTTCAAAATGCATTTCAAGCGTATCAAGGCCTGTAGGCAGTTACCAAACATCACAGTCAAGATAATCGGTCACTGTGGTAAGACTGGTGCTTCCCCAGTGCTAAGCAGAAGCGCAAACCACTAGACCACAACGTTATTACGTGGACAGTGCGAATTGGTGTCTCTAGAAGAAAGGCTGTCGTTGAGACCGAAGGCCGGCCCTATTTGCGTCGTGCACTCTCAGTTATCTCTGACCGCTCTCTGTTGCTTGTTTCGTCAGAGCAGCTAACTCGATGTTAAAGGATATATTCTGAAACAGGACATGAAATAGCGTACTTCATGTCCTGGTTTGTATCTTATTTGACGACGCTTTATTAGCCCTGTGAACTATTTTACATTGTAAATTAGCATGTCTCCTATGCAGTAACATAAAAGCAATAGCATTAAAGAACTGCAGTTTTAAATGCTGAGCTGTTTGGGTGTGAAACTAGGCCACTCGTACTGAGGGATAAACACAGGCCGTATCTGAGAGGGGAATGTAGCAGGAGACTGTAAAAGATTACATGACGAACCTGATATCTTGTAAGTCCGAATAAAAGGCGAACACATATTTTTCTTGAAGAAAGCAGTCTTCTGGGATGTAGCACCGTGTAGATTTGGTGTTGACCGACGTTTCGGAGGAACGTATCGCCTCCATTTTCAGGGTAGAAGGAAAAATAACTCTCACTGTCTCTTCGCTTGCAGATGGAAGGATTATGTCAATTGAAAAATATCCAATGACTTTATCGGAATATGAACCCGCGACCTTCCGGCATGTAGCATAGTGCCTCAACCAACTGATACAGAGTGTACTATCAAGAAATAAAAAATTCAAAATTAAATACCTTGAATTTAATTACAGATATTTTGATAAATCTCATTAAAAAAATAAAGGAGAACTCATAATTATTTCCTTCGTATTCATTCTTAAGGTCCCGGAAACAAGGTGACCCCTCTTTTCTAAGAAGCACTACCTTAAAAAATGCCTCGTTTTCCATTCGGGCTAATACGGAAATCTGTACTCCTTGCCAAATATAAAGAGATCGAATCCAGAAGGACCAGAGTGTGGACTTTGAGCTAGCAAAAGGATAGTTTAATTGAGGCAGCTGAAATGAGGTTCCTGAGGGCTGGTTCAAGTTACAGGACAGCGGAATATATCAGAACCAGATAATCAGATAAGAGCTAATACATGTAACCTCCAAGATTAAACTCTTGATTATCAAACGAAATTGTCCCACCATCTGGTGGAATCGATTCAGGCAGATTTACTTACGGATTTGACCAGATACGACGGCAGGTAGAAGGAAAAAAAATGCAGACCATACAAAAGATTAAGGACCAATTCTGAGTTGAACGTTAACAGTCGCAATAGAACTGTAAGACTAATCCTTGTAGAAAATGATGATGATGAAATTTAAAATATGATATGGATGGGGCAGAGAAAAAATAAAAACTACATACAAAAATTTAATCGGAAAGTAGTGGTGAAATTTGTTATGAATTCCGTGGCTTTAGTCCGCAACCTAACTATACCGACCGAGCGACGGCCGCTTATCGGAGGAATTATTGCCAACTTTAGCGGGTAGAGGGTGTCGCGTAGTCAGCGCAACGAATCCCCACGGCCGTTAATTTCGGTTTTCTAGACCGGAACCGCTACTTTTCCATTCAAGTAGCTCCTCAATTATCTTCACGAGGCTGACTTGACCCCGTTCCAGACCAACTACTTCTCAAAAAATCTAGTAGCGCCGGGAATCGAACCCGGAACCTCTGTATCTGTAGCCGGGAACTCTGATCACTAGACTACAGATGTGGTCTTTGAAATTTGTTGGGTTTAATGATTTTTACATATATAAACACAAAGATACGGATAAAGAAAGAGAACAGGAAAAAGCGAACATGTGCAGTGAATATGCACATTGCGGTCGCATTTCGAAATCTCCACTCATCACGAGGGAATCATTGACCAGTGTAAGAATGAAGTCATTATCAAGATAAGATTCAGGAGCGTCAGGAAATCGGATCAATCCAATCACGAGGCTGCAGGATCTTGTAATTAATTTCAATTACAGCGGGGCGTCGGCTTGTCGTACTCTCCGAATACAATGACGTCACATTCTATTTTGGTTGCAGTCACCCTGCATTTTAACACGACACAGCGCGAACACTGGGACTTGCGAACGTTTATCTGTTTGTGCTATGTAGCTTTTTGTAACGACACTGAGCGAAATCTACATAATTCTGTATTGCATAGAAACATAAGGAACATAGACCGAGCATATCTCAGAACAAGACAGTGAGCAGAATATTCAAATATTAAAGAAAGTCTGTAAAGTAGGATGAAGACAACCGCGTACTTAGATATTTCATAATTTGTATTTGTATTTGCATAATATTCCTTGTACTTATTTCCGTCAGAGGCTGAGTCGAACCCAGGGCTATAATGCGGCTGGAAGGATTAGGTCAATTGAAGAAAATCCAATTACCTCATCGGGGCCTGAACCCGCTTGTAGCATAGTGTCTCAACCAACTACGTTACCGGAATATTCTTGGGAGTAAAGGGAGGCAGGCGCGTAAGGCTGATAACCTTGCCGCCATCTTGCCGATTGTCTAGAAAATGTGGGAGCCACGACGTCTCGCAACCCTATGTGCCTCCACGGCTTGTTACGGGGATAGCTTTACTTTATTTGCATAATATTAATAAGGCATATAACTGAAGGAGAACTTGAAGTACAGATAAGTGCAATGAATGAGAGACGAAGATTCACGCAAATTTTTCGTTGGAGAACTTGTAAAAGACAGACCGCTTCGAAAATTAGGCGTGACTGCAACAATAATATCAGGCTAGTATTATTAAAAATACGGTATGGGGGTGAGGACAGAACTTTTCTAGATCACAAGAGGGCCCAGTGAAGACTTATTCTAATAAACTCGGCAATACAAATTTGTTTTTCATAAAAGACAAGGAATTTCTTCTAAAAATACTTTTCTCTGTAGAATTATATAAATCGTCATTCTGTGGCACTTAAGTTCGGTCATTACGCATTTGGTTTAGTCACAGTCCGCTAGGAGCCCCAGGGAGCGAGTTTATATACAACACAGGCTAAGCCGATGCTAATATAGCATAGTTCAGTCATGCCTGTGTGGGAAGGAAGCAGAAAGCACTTGGCACAATGTCAGGATGTCGTGAATGAAAACAGAGATGTCGACACTGGTCACTTTCCCTTGTCGAGTCATGTCTGCATGATTATGACCATCGTCATGTCGAGCAGGTTAGTGTAACAGTAGTGTTACGAACATATTAAGGAAGTACTGGTTTATAATTTTAACAGAGGCATCGGGTACCCTGTCGTTTTCGTGATCTTCCTCAGATTCTCTTGGCACATGCCTGGGCAGTACTTTTAAAACAAGCCTTGATAAACGCATTACGAGTTCTTATTTTGGCAGTATTCTTCAGGTATTTCTATTTTACTTTTCAATCTCTGCTGTTGAAGCAACGTCGTTAAAAGCAATTCAGGACTAAGACTCTGTAACCATCACCTACTTTCGTATACCGATCTTTTTTTATTACCAGAATTCCTATAGCCTCAGGAAAATTCTGACTGAACAATAAATCACAGTTTTTATTTATTTTTTATTATTTAACGAGTCCTTTTCTTCCTTGGGTTATGCAACGTCGAATAATAACATGGTTTATAAATGACGAATTTAGACAGAGAGAAGGGAGCTGTCGTGTTTGGGGAATTCTGTCCTCTGGGATACAGGTATAACGCCGTGTAATCCTTTGAAAGTCAAATTTATCGATCAACGGACTACATGGAGTTACATCACAGAAGATAGGACTCTTCATAACCATTGCTGTGACAGCCTCAAATCCTTAAAAAAAAAAAAAGCTGTCCCTGTAACATGCCGTGGAGGCCCATAGGCTTGTGAGACGTCGAGGTTCCCACATTTTCTAGACAGTCGACTCACAGATAGCGGTGAGGTTGTCAGCCTTACGCCGGCAGCCCTCCACTCCCAGGAATATTCCTGGTACTCATTTATGTTAGAGGCTGAGTCGACCCTAGGGCTATAGTGCGGCTGGAAGTAAATTGAAAAATTTAATGACCTCAGCGGGAATATAAATCCTAACGTCTATATTAAGGTAGGTGCTATACTGGTATATCTGGAGGGACTGAGGATGCTATAGAAAATCTGTCACGCTACCAGAGCTCAGTGAGTAAAATCTAGTGTGGAGAAATTTTGTAGGCCCTACTAGTACTACACACGAAGGGTGCAGTGAGGCCTGAGTATGACCAAAAATGCGAGGCAGACAACTCTGAACCTCCATGCCAGTAAGTTTCGCGCCACGATCGGTTAAAATGTAAAGGAGATACTTACGGACAGAATTAGATTTCGGATTTATGGTTTTATTACAAGATTGCACTTCAGGTTGGCTGTTCGGCTGATTTCCGAAGTCTGAGATATTTACCGGCGGAGCCATTGGGAACCACTGCCAGCATTTCGAGAACCAGTGTCATAGAATAGCAATAAGGGCCGCTGTAGAACAGTGTATATTCCTTTCAAAACAGTCAAATATTATTGGGTAAATCAAATCAAGGATGGTCAAACGGGTTGGTCTAGTAGTAATGCTCTGGATTTTATGTGGGAGGTGCTCGGTTCGAATTTCGGCCAAGACGCATCTTCCAAATGAGATACTTCGTAGTTTTCTCAGTAGCTCCAGATAATAATAATAAAATTATTATTTTACTGCAATTGGGTATTCACCCGGTGGCAGTCTCGAAATTATCTCGATTTATGTCACGACCACTTCTGTTCAGATCCTTTCCAATTAATCATTCATCAATATTGCTAACATTCGAGATATGCAGTACGAGGGAGAGTCAGTAAGTAAGTCACAAATGGAAGTAAAACAGACGTAATGGACGTAATACAGTATATTTTCTATCTGTATCACTAGATAGCAGCACAATCCAGGTAGCAGACGTGCATTCGCATGTTCAGAGGCTGGTTTTAATAGTCAAAATGGTGTCCGTGCTTGAGGTGTTTTATTACAGAAGAGCACAGTTCTTTTGTGCGTTCATTTGTGGGCAAAACAAATCAATGCAAAGGATAGTCATAAAGAAATGTTTCCTGCTTATGGTGAGAAGTGTTTGTCGCGTAAAGCGGTTCAAAACTGGGTCGAGATATTCTCTCAAGGACGTTCGAAAGTCGCAAACGACGCCCCACCAGGTCTCCCTGTTGAGACTGAGACAGAAGCAACTGTGCAGCGGGTGGAAGAGTTGATTCGAGCCGATAGGAGGATAACGACAGACAGTGTAGCAGCTGCACTAAGGTGTTCCCATAGTTTAGCATACAGCATAGTGCATGAGCGTTTGAAGCTTCAGAAAGTGTGCGAAGATTTGGTGCCCAGAAGACTGAAGGATCGAGAGAGAAAAATGAACCGAATGGATCTGTCCTTGCAACATCCCTTAGGGTAGCAGATGAATGAGAAGATAAGCTTAACATGTTTCTTACTGTGGAGGAATCATGTGTGCATCAGTACCAACCCGATTTAAACCTTGATTCTGTGCAATGGAAATATCCCAGTTCACCTTCAATAAAAAATTTAAGGTTACGCCATCAGCTGGGAAGGTTATGCTTACTGTGTTTTGGGATTCTCAAGGAGCACCGTTAGCCCATTTTCAGAAGTTCGGTGAAAATGTGAAGTTCTGATGAAACTTCGGGATGCAATTCGCACGAAACGTTCGGACCAACTGGCAAAAGAGGTACTGCTACGTTATGAAATTGCCAGACTCATTCGACCCGAACAACCCAGGTGAGAATTCAAGAATTGCAGTGGGAACTTGTTGAACATCCGCCTTACAGCCCGGGCTTGGCCTCTAGTGACTTCCTTGTGTTTAGTCCGCTCAAAACCCAACCTTGGTGGCAAATATTTGCTGATGACGAAGAGGTTGAAACGGAGGTTCGGAAGTGACTGAGGCAACCCCAGTCAAAAGACCCCTATGCTGCGGTTTTCGACACGCTCTTAAAGAGATGGGACATGTGTGTCAATGTTGGCGGAAGATGCGTCAAGAAATCAATATTTTTTCCAGGTTCGAATATCACATGTTTTAGATTTTGTATCCATTTTTGACCTATTTACTGACTCTTCCTCGTGTATACGTGTATATCCTCTACGACAGCGTCGTAGAGTAATCCACGACAAAATCAACAAGGAGCAGATGACCAAGATACATACATTGGGTGGGGGAGATGAGAAATTGGTTCACATTTTCAGTCGGAAACCCTGAAGAGGAGGGACAATTTTGGAAGACTAGGTATATAGGATGATAATATTAAAATTGATAAGTAAATAGACTGTAAGGGTGTGAACTGTGTCATTTACCTTAGATTAGAGCCCAACGAGGACGATAATGAACTTAATGTTTTCACAAAAAAGGCGAGATAATTTTAAATAGCTGATCAAGTGTATCTGGTTCTCAAGTAAGAGTATTTTCCAAAAAAGTTACTATACTCTAATTGGATATCACTTTCCATTCGTGTCATGTTAGAGTTCATAATGAAATCCGTCTATACAGGAATATTTCTACTCAGGAGAAGAAGGTGAATAGCAAGAGAAATGTTAAATTTATTTACTCATTCCTAATGTCACAGATTGTCAGTTTACATGACGAATGAAGTCATTTGCGCAGAAGATCCAGTCGTTGTAAATAGCCATTACGTAATGCATGGAAGCTGCCAATAAAAGCAACTCTTCAGCATTTTAAATGCATGTGACAATCATAGACATCGCAGGAAAGAGGGGTGGGGGCAGTCGTCCGCCTCCGATCTGGATCCTTTTTTTTTGTG